TCCTCATACCATCCTGTTTTTCATTCTCCAAAAGGAACAATGCTTCAACCAATTCTTGATAACGTTAACGATAAAGTTTAAGGTACCTTACCCTCTCTGTTATTCAAGCAAGAACACTTGAAAAAGCAAAAGACTTAAGGAACCTGACCACGTTTTAGGGCCATCCTTGCTGGTGATGTTTCGCTTCGGCGAACTTCTGGCTATGCCTCAAATTGATTCTTTGAGTAATTATTGAACACCTACTACACGCTAGGTAGTTTCTAAGCTTGGCTAGCACTGTGTAGTAGACCCTTTACTGAATAGGCTGGTCTTGTCCTTTTAGTTTTCTCAAAGACTATTTTAACTAGAAATCTGTTTTTTGAAGAGTCAGCATTCTTGGGCCTTCTAGTTCTTTCCATATTCAGACAGCACTCTCAAAGCAAAGAAGAAAACTAACAAAGATATCATCTGGGCTAATCTGTGCTTAAGTATTTTGGAAATAGGTAACAATTGCATTTTTACTGTTAATTGGTACACTAAGATCTTTTTAAAGTTCTGAATTTTAGTTATCACCTTAGATAACTTGCAGGTACCTCTTTTATTCTATTTCAGAAACCCCTCTAACTTGTAGGCTTTATATCTTAGAGTCTTCAGGTGTAGAAATTCCTTACACTTCCTGGGTTCCCCTCACCCATGACCATTAAGTTTTTAAATATACTACAGAAAGAAAACAACTTGGCGACTCTAGCCTTAGAGTTCCCAGCTCTTCTGAAACAGAAACAGTTGAGTTAGGAAAGCCACTTTTATCTTCTTTCTTTAGATCTGAGTCTTATAAACCTACTGAGTAACTGAATCAGATGCCTCTGGGCAACCAGATTTTAAATGCAACTTAGCAATACACATTTGCTAGGATCATATAATATTCTGTTGGTGAAGATTATGTGAGTGATAGCAGCATCTAATGTCCTCTAAAGCAAGGTTTTCTTAGAATAAAATGCTTCTTTGAAAGACCCAATCTTTTCAAATAACTTTTAAAGGCCAAGAACAGCTTTTTTAACTAAGGCACATGCTAATTATATTCTCCATATTATATAATTCAGTAGAGTAGTTAAGAGCCTTGAATTATTGCTGACCTACATCATGTAAAATAACTGAAAATGTCCCTTCTGTCTAAGTAATTAGAGACCTCACCAGAGGATCAGCATAGCTTACTTGGCCAAAACCAATCAAAACAAACTCCTCCAAACCAAAAAAAGTCAAACAAAACAAACATCCCATACTTATTATAGGGAGAAATTGGAGACCTTTAGCCTTTATCTGTCTTCCCGGTGGTGATAATACTCAGGAATGTGGTGATCACTGATATCTTCATCCATCCATAAACATTACCGTTGGTCCTTAAGTACCTTTTATTTATTTTTTTAAGATTTGAGAGAGAGAGAGAGAGAGAGAGAGAGAGAGAAAATGAGCAGGAGGGGCAGAAGGAGAGAGACAATCTCAAGCAGACTCCCCATTTAGTGCAGAGCCCAATACAGGGCTCAATCTCACAATCCTGAGTTCATGACCTGGGCAGAAACCAGGAGTCCAACACTTAACTGATTGCCACCCAGGCACCCCTTAAGTACCATTTTAAAAGTAAAAATATAAAATATTTGGAGCAGTCAAATACTTTTGAAAATCAGTTAATAATCTATTATATTTACTATAGAAATGTTGAAAACCTAAAAGCTGCATTGATGGTAGCTTCCTTCTTTACTTTAAGTTCACTTCTAAGGAAATACAACACATTAAATTACATTTACAACATTTAATACCTGGACAATATTACCTGGACAACCATTTATTGGGTTTACTGTAGGCCAGATACGAATTTTTCTTGTTCTCTGCCTAGCTACTTTGTATATATAAAGGATCCATAAAAACCAATACAGTGGGAGATGCCTGGGTGGCTCATTTAAGAATCACCTTTGGCTCAGGTCATGATCCCGGGGTTGCAGGAATTGAGCCCCACATTGTCAGGCTCCCTGCTCAGTGGGAGAATCTGCTTCTCCCTCTCCCTCTGTGGGTCCCCATCTCATGCTCCCTATCTCTATCTTGAGCTCATATGTGTGCGCTCCCTCTCAAATAAAATCTTTAAAAAGAAAAAACTAATATAATGAGATGGAGAGGTCAAATTGCAGATGTTGAATCTTGAATTCAAACATTAACTTACTTAAATGTTTAGTAGGTTAAAGATTCGTTCCCCAACCTCCTAACTGAATCTCAGTGTTGGAACAATACATGATTTAAATGGAAACTCTTTTGAAATTTTGCCGGGTATCTAGAAGTATAGTTTTGAATTACAATCTTCTTAATTTATTTATTGATTAAATTACATGCTGTGTATAATGTGCAATGATAGGTGTGACTCATCAGGTAAACTGTAAATTAAAGGGCAAATGAATAAATATCAAATTGCTTTTGACTTAAAAGATTAGCTCAAAACTTTGTAACACAAGGTGTGAACTCAAGGCAGAGACCACATCTTCACTGCATTTTGTATTCCCAGGTCCTGAGTACCTAACAGACAATAGACATTTAATAAATACATATTTTTTTTATTGCTATCATAGGAAAACATAAAATCTAAAAATAAAAGTTCTTAAGTAGTTAAGATAAGCTCCCATGGAAGCTACTAAAAAAGCTTGGTTAAAGGCCTTTATTTTTACAGTTTATAGAACTGACTTTGATTTCTACAATTTTTTATTTTGGCTGGTGTTTGCTATGAGACGGAAATTAAGTCTTTAAATGTAACACGCACATATGAATAGCGTAGTATTCCAAACAAGACAAACCTGATATAGATTTTTAATGTGGCAATTATTACTATAATTTGTATATAAATGAAAAGTATTTGACAAAGCCCTAGATGGGAAAGCTGTGCTCAAGTTGGGCATAGCCAATTTTATTAAAAAGATAATAAATGTTAAGTCTATTGCACACAGTTAAAAAAAATGAAACAAAACAGTTCTTCAGGAGCTGAGATACTTTTGATCTAGATGCTTTCTCCCATTCCTCATGAATTTCTGCCTTAAGCTGTTGATTTGCATGTATATTCAACTACTTTATTTGTGTTTCTTTCGGTAAGTCAGTATTTTCATAATAAGTTACATTTACTACAGTGTCTTCACACTTAGAAGGCAAAAGGCTCAGTGGTTTACATATGAGGCGAGTGAAAAGATAAACATGAAGTTCCATTAATTAACCTGAGTTTTGAACATATTGTTTTAGTCATTCAAAATCTCAGGCTGAAGAGCTTTGAAAACTGAAGTTTGAAAAAGGAGACGTTATATATTTTATAGCTTGGCTTCTACTTAATGCATATATCTTTATAAAAAAAACCTCACAAACTTTAAAATTATTTACCCCTTTCAAACTTATAAAATATATGTACTTTGAAGTGTAAAGTCACAGTAAGCACAAGAGCAAAAACTCTCATTTTAACAAGGCATAGACAGGCTCAGGGAAGTCAAATAACAAGGCACAAATACTTAGTTGGTCAGGTTCAGAGCCCAGATTAGCCCTGGTCTGCTTGATTTACAAGCTTGCACCTCAAGTTCAAGGTAAAGAAAGGCTTCACTGTTCTAAACCAAAGTCCCAAATATGCCAGAATTACATGGCCACTAGAGAGCTAATTAAGAAAAACTGTTTAAATTATTTCCATGTTTCAGAGTTCTCCACCTCTCTGGACTCAGCAGGCAGTTAAAATATGTGACCTGAGACATTTTTGTTTTCCCTTGAGAGGAAATGCACAGAAGTTCACAAAAACACCTTTTCCACAAAGCAGCAATACGGCTTTTATCTTTTTAAAAAGCTCTCTTGTCACAGCCATTTGGTGGCAATTCATGCCCTCAAATACTCATTTTAGTGATAGTTAACTCCCTTTTAGTCCGTCTCACAAGCCAGCTGATAAATGACTTGAAATTGGGGGCCCTGTTTTTATTTTGAACCCATCACAGAGCCTGGCACAGAGTGGCAGAGTGTGTATCCAATCAATACTTGTTGAATGGAATTACACTGAAAAGCAGGGTGAGCTAAAGCCTTCTTCCATCTGCCAAAGACTTTGGTGCGGCTATATGGGTAATTTTCTTTCTTAGAAAGCTTTAACGTGAATGAAATTATTCCTTAGTGGGCATTTGAAAATTCCACTGAAAGCAGTTTAAAAAATTAAATATGCCCTCGTAGACGTAGCTGGAGAAATGAGAACGAAAAGTGACAGTGGCAAATCCGCATTGTTCAGAGAAGAGAGAAAGGTCAACAAAGAGTAGAAACGGAACCCTCAACCCACCCTGCATTCTTTCCCTGGAACGTTCTCTGTGCATCCCTTATCATTCAAATTCTTTAAATGCAGTTTCCCTGAAACTGACCGTATCCCATTGAGGGTGAGGGGAGGACAGGAGAGGGAGGGAAAGAGATGGAGGAGGGGAAGGTCTGAGCAGAGGATTCTTTCGACAGCAGCGTCCACTTGGAGCCTTGGGGAGGCCGGGGTCACGGGGCCCTCCTTGCACCAGTGATCTACAACGTCTTGCCTGCGGTTTACAACCGCTCTTTAAAAATACTTTCCCTTTGGGACTGCCCTCGGCTTCTTCCTGCCACCCCCCTTCTCCCCCTCCTCCCCCCACAGCGGCCCCAAGCAAAGCAATGCCTTGGCTTCGCCGGCAGGTCTTAGAGTAAACAGCACGCTCGGAGGATTACAATCGACCCGAGGCCAATTCGACCCTTTCCTTTTGCCGCCCTCAAATGACCCTTGACAGCAGCCCCTGCTCTCCCCTCAAATGGAAAACCCACAGACACACACAAACAAAAAACCCCAAGTCTTCCCTTCGGTTGCTACCCGCAATGACGTTTCCCCCTCGGGTCCCGCCCCTCCGGGGGCTTGGAATTTTGGGATTGGTCGAGGGGTTGCGGCGAAAAGGCCCCGATTGGGCGCCAAAAGGCTGACTGACAGCGAGGCGGCCACCGCGCCCACCCTCCCTCCCGCCCTCCCTGGTGTGCGAATGTGTGTGTGCGGTGTTATGCCGGACAAGAGGGAGGCGACCGCGGCGGCGGTGGCTCTGTTTATTGTCCTTCTCGGTGTGTGGATGTGAGGAAGTCGGGGGTGCAGCGCGGCCGACGAAGGCGGCTTTTGAGGCGGCGGCAGCGGCGACTCCGGCAACCCGAGCGGCCGGCCTTAGCTGAGTGTGAGGAAGGACAAGGCGCCTTTGCGTCCCCGCCACGTCTGGACGCCCCGGGCTCTCCGGCTGCGCTCGCCGCGCGCACCTCCGGGCCTCGGCCCGGCTTGCTGCGGCGCCCGCGGGCGGGCGAGGAGGAAGCACCGCGGCTCAGGCGCCGCCGTCCTCCCGCTTCCTTCTCCACCTCTTCCTCAGCGGCTGCCCTAGGCCCGGGCGACGCGGCCGCCGCGCCTCGAGTTTGAGGGCGCCGGGCGGCGCGGCCTCCTCCGCGGGCTCGGCCGGGCGTCCGTCCCGGGTCTCGGCGATGGGGCGCGGGGGGCGGCGCCGCTAGGAGCACGGCGAGCGGAGCGGTCGGTGCGGAGCAGAGGGGCCCGGCGGCCGGCAGGGAGGCGGGAGCGGCGGCCGCGGCCTCGGGGCCTGTGAGCGGAGGCACCCGCCATGGCCAAGGCCGGCGGCGGCGCGGGAGCCGGCGGCAACGGGGCACTGACCTGGGTGGTGAGTGGCGGACGACGGGGGGTGCAGGGCGGGGGTCCCGTACGCGGCATTGTTCCCGGCCAGCGGCAGCGGTGGAATTCCGCCGGGCTGTCCCGGGGTGGGGGGGGGGGGGGGGAGGGAAGGGAAAAGAGGGAAATCCGGCGTCCCGAACGGGCGCCCCGTCGGGGCTTCTGCCCGCAGAATCCCCTGCTCCCCGCCCCTTTTCTTTCTTTACCTCTACGGAGGCTCCGGCTGCGGGAGCCTAATGTGCACTTGAAACTTAGGGTGACAAACCATGAACCTGACATGAAGCCCTCGCTTCATCTTTTTTCCTCTTTCTCAGTCTTCTGGGGCAGTCGGGCATAAGATGATGGGTATTGGCAGTAATGCTTGTGTTTCTGTAGGTCAGCACTTTTATCTAAATGTGGCTTAAGAAAGAAAGGTGTGTGTGTGTGTGTGTGTGTGTGTGTGTGTGTGTGTGTGTGTGTGTGTGTGTATTGTAAATGCAAATGAAACCACTTCTGATGCTCTAACCTCTCAAAGAAGAAAGGATTTGGTGGGGAATTAGTCTAAGGCAATTTACACTTCAGAGTCTCATACGATTGAAATCACATTCGGGATGGCTGTTTCACAGCAGTTAATATACTGTAGATCGTCCATCTGTCAGGGTGGGATTATTAAAAGAAGCGTTCACCTGCGTCAGCATCGCAGGTGAAACGGGGTGGGGGCCGAATGGAGAGTGCTGGAGAGGTGACTGAAGTGCTTAGTCCTGGAGTTAAAGGATTTCGGCACTCTGTTCCTGCTGGGAAGTAGTAGAGGAGGGAAGACCTAGAGAGATACGATTCCCACGGCCGATCGATAATTCACCAGCATTTCACTTGCTCAGCATAGAGTTCAGAGCAGGGTCATTTCCTACACAAAAAAGCCCAGCTCAGCCAACTGGCTTGGTTTCCAGGAGAAACATTTAAAAAGCGTTACATTTAACAGGGACTTTCGATGGATCCTCCCTTTTTTCAGAACACCCGAGGAAACTTTCATATTGGCGTTTTTATTATTCTTCATTTTCTCTTTGGGCGAGGTTTAGGGGAGTTGAGTAGCAGTTCTGCTATATTAACAAGTCCTCCTTGTAAAAAAGCATGTTACTGACAGCAGGAAAACATTTTAACCATTTATGTTTGGGTGCCAAGGTGCTTTGCAAAATAACTTGCCAGGCTCTTAATTGTTGAATTTTCTGAATTTTGTATGTTACTCCAATAATGTAGTGTGAACAGACCAGAGCCAGGAGAGAGAAAATGCCAGATTATAAATTAGTGGTCCATGTGGACCATTCCGGGAGGGGGGAATGCATAAATAAATGCAAGATAATGATTTTTAAAAATGGGCGGCCCTTATCTCTGTTTTAGTAAAATCAACCAACTTCTGAAAATTGAGTTACCCAGATGGTTCTCATTCACTATTTGGAAGTGCCGAGGCCTGATTTTTATTTCTGAGGACCTCTGATTCTGTAATGGTAAACATTTTGCTCCAAGATTGAATTGGTTGGCATTTGACATTTGATAGCAGTATTTGAATTTACTGTTACTTAACTTTGTGGGTAAATGACCACTTTTTCTTTCAAGCTCGGTAGGCAACTCATTTACATAAAAAATTCATGAAACTTAGAGGGTCTCATTCAGTATCAGAAAAATTCATTTGATAATAAAATTGACTTATTTATTAAAGATGTTTTCATTATAAAACGAATATGGGAAATAAAGTAAAAAATCACTTATTTTATTTACAGATTATATCCTTTTGTTGAATTAGAAGTTTATAAAAAGATAATCACTTCATTAAGTCCACTTTATGATTTGATTCTTGCTTTAAATTTGTCAGGTTATATGAGCATCTTTATGTCCATAATATACATTATTGATCATAGACTACTTTAATTTTATGGGAGGCAATATAGTGAAGTGGTTATGAGCATGGACTTATGTCAGATTGATGTAGATTCAGATCCTTTCTCCAACACATATTGCAAAAGGGGCCTAACCTTTCAAAGCCTGTTTTCTCATCTATAAAATAAGGTTGCATTGAGAATTAAATAACATATGTAGCCGGTGCTGGGCTTAGTAAATGTTTTTTGTTGGTGGTGGTGAAGTTCAAGAAATGTACATTCAGAATAAGGAAGTTGGCTTTTACATGAAGTGCTTTTAAACCAGGATGAAAGCGAATTCCTTTGAAAGAATTCAGGGATTTGTTTCAGTGGTCATCTATTCCTGCAGAGGGGTAACTTTGCCTGCTTGTTGAAACTGGTGTTATGTTGCCACCTGCTTGTGGGTAACAGGAAGAAATAAAAGTGGAAATAGTCTCTGATATTCTTTTGGGAGGGGGATGGGTAATGCCATGTGTTGCTGGTATTAACTTCTGTTGGGATGCTTGCCAGCATGTAGTAGTAGTATTGTCACTGCATGAAAGTTTACATTTTAATACCTGAAACCACAAAGCAAAGTGGTTTAAGATTGACATTAACTTCTCCTTTTAATAATGTATTTGGTTTGTGTTTGATTTGCAGGGTCTTAAGCAGATTTTTAAAAATCTTAAAAAAGTGAAAAATATAGTAAACTATTTGAGTTAACATTGACAGCAGCTATGAAGGCTTCCTGAACCAAGCAGAGTTTCTTGAGTTAACTTTTAGTTCGTAAAGCTTTGATTGGTAGACCCTGTGGTCTGTTTCATTAAGTCATTTATAATTTTTAAGTGGTTGTAAAAATTTCTGTGGAAGTACTAGAATATAGTTAATCACTATGTGAATATTGATCTTTTTTCTAGAATACTCTAATTTGGTAGATTAAAAGATATTATAATTAAAAATATTAAGCATATAAAAAAGTGGTGGCCAGAATAATATAAGAAGCCTTCCTCCGTTTATCACATTTCAACAATTACCAACTCAGGGTCACCCACTTCACCTATAAATATTTAAGTATTTATCTCTAAAACATAAGTTTCTTTAAAAAATAAAACCACAATTAACATTGTAGTTTTTTAAAAAGTAAAAGTCAATGGAATATAAAACATACTTTTTTTACTGTGTATTTCTAATTCAAAACATAATTGTATATTTAAATATTGTTTAAAGATTTGTATTAAGAACCTTGCTTTAGTGGCTCATTATTCCAAGTCCGAACTCCTCAGCTAGACTTTCAAGCCAATTCTTTCATAAACTATGTGCCCTCTCAATTGAAATTTATTTTGTATAGTCTTCATAGTTAAATTTATCTCTTCACTGTCTCTTGAACATCATGGTTGTGGGTTTTTTTTTTTTGTAAGATTTTTATTTATTTGAGAGACTGAGGCAGAAAGAGCTAAGAGCGCGAGAGTGGGGAGGAGAGGGAGAAGAGCTAAGAGCACGAGAGTGGGGAGGAGAGGGAGAAGAGCTAAGAGCACGAGAGTGGGGTGGTTGAGCAGGGAGCCTGATATGGGGCTCAATCCCAGATCCCACGCCTACCCGAGTGAGCCAGTGAGCCACCCAGCGCCCCCCTCATGGTGGTTTTTGTCACGGTGCTGTGCATGCTTACCTTCGGTCAGGAATGCCTCTTTCTCTTTACCGGTCTAAATCTTACTCTTCAAGGCTAGCTCAGAGTCTCACCACACTTTCATCCTCCAGTTTACACTCATCTTTTTCTGTTACCCTTATGGGTCAAAAAACATAAATGTCTTTTTATGTAACTTTCATGCATGGTAATTTTGTCTTAACAATTAGATTATAAGCTCCTAAAGCCAGAGACCGCGTATTGTACCTACTTGTATCCTTATACTGTTTAGAAAAGAGCTGGTTTCATAATCCAACCTCAGTTATCTTAACAGATTGGATAATTGACATACTAACTTCCTGAAAAGTCTATCATTATTATTTTTTGAAAGATTTATTCATTTGAAAGAGAGAGGGAGGGAGAGAGAGAGAGGCAGGGGGAGGTAGGTAGGGGCAAAGGAGAGAGAATCCTCAGGCAGACTCCCCGCTGAGCACAGAGCCCATTGTGGGTTTGTGCGGCTCGATCCTAGGACAAAGGTGCCCCCAAAAGTCTATCATTAATAAGACAAGTGATCAGGTAGCGGTGTTCTTTAGATACATTCTCAAGTTACATAATAGCAGTACTTAGCAACTGTAATTATAATTGGTGCTAACTTTTCTGAATGGAAGTGAGTGTTCACTTGTAGTTTTATATCTATTAATTACTTAGGTCTCAGTAGTTACATTTTACCAAGGACATTAAAAAAAAACTCTTTGAGTTTTTTAAAAATAGGACCCCCTTTAGAGAAAAGGTGAGATCAGTATAATTATTTTCATTTGCAGAGAAGGAAACCGGTTTAGAGATTAGGTAACTGTTAATCACCTGGCTAAGGCGGAGATGGGATTGAAACCAGGTTTATCTTTTTAGCCATGATTTATATAGCCCCTAGCCCCCCACTTTAAAAACATTGAAAACCAAAAAACCTGAGGTGCCTGGATGGCTCAGTAAATTAAGCCTCTGACTCTTGGTTTTAGTGCAGGTGATGATCTCTGGGTCATGAGATCTGCTCTCAGTAGGCAGTCTGGTGGAGATTCTCTCTCCCTTTCCGTCTCACTTTACCCCCCCCCCTCCCCGTTTGTGCCTGCACATGTGCGTGGTCTTCTCTCAAATAAATCTTTAAAAAAAAAAAAAAAAAACCAAAAAACCTCATCTTTTATACCTGATGTGACAAGATTACAAAAAAGCCTTCTGGGATATCCTTGTATCTCTTTGTAATAACCTTTCTTTTACTTTCACACAAAAAGCTAGGAAATATCCTTTCCAGGGTATATGTATCTTGTTTAACAACGCTTTTTTAAGATTATGGGCTATGAAATCAGATCACATGGTTTCATAATTCAGCTTCTTCAAGTACTAGCTTTGTTAGCTTTGGGAAAACACTTCTTCAGACTTCCATTTCCTCATCTGTAGAAAGGGAATCATGATAGCGATGTCTACTTCATGGAGCTCTTATGAGGGATTGAT